CAAAACGCAAGATTTTTGCGGATATACTCATTCAACATCAACACGCCGGCGACTATATCGTGTACTACGACGAGACCACCAACAACAACTTTTGCTGCCATCGCTCCGTCGGACGTGCAAAGAAGGGAGATTGTGCCACAACTCTTCTTCCGCCGTAAAAAAGCTCCAATCTGCGTGCAATGCGCTGTTTCGGCCGAAGAGGGCCTTGTATTCCACCGGATTGAAACAGGCAGCATCATGATGGAAAAGTACGCTACATTCGTCGATGAAGTGTACAACGCCGTCAAGCGATCTGCAACTTGGTTCAACAAAATCTGTTGGGAAGAACGTAGTCATCGTGTTTGACAACGCGCCCGCCCACTTGCAAACAGAAGAGCGCGTTGTCATGCACGATGATCTCTTTCTTCTCCGTCTTGGTCCGTATTCGCCGATGCTCAACCCTATCGAGAGTTGTTTCAGCGTATTCAAGGCGAAGATCAAGATCTACCTGGCAGATCGCACAGACTTGATGCTTCAACGACGCGAATATCCCTCTTACCTTGAGAGTCGTATGCGGTTGTTAGAAGCTGTTGTTCACTAGTGACTTCCCTGTATCACTCAATTCTTGGTCGTCCGTGAGGCAATGTTTTGCCAACGCAACGCGGAGAAGGCTCTTCGTCTTGAAGACATGCGCTACGGAAAGTGAAGTGAATCAATTTGGATGGAAAAGAACCACATTGAATTGGAAATTGTCGTTTTTATGTACCACTTTCTAAATTCAAAACATTTGTCTTTTTATATTGCCACTTTAATTGGAAATAACCACCAACTTGCTCGTGAAATGGTGTATATACTCAACTCACTGTGAATACAACCTTGTAAGTATATGTACGGTAGTATCATGGTGCAATTAAAATATGTATCCGACATTTCGGCCATGGAGTCGCAGCTATTGTGGACAAACTCAGCTTCAGCATTGGACTAGAATAAAAGGTGCGCCTTGCGAGGTACTGCAACTCTCGTAGATGATGGCTGACTTCACAATCGTTTTCCTCCTGGATTTGAATAATTTTTGTTTTCCGAACGTTCTTCATGCATCAAGAGGATTCGACACCAAGCAGAAGGTAGTACTTGATGTTTGTATCTATAGTTTTTAGCACATGACGTTGCCCTCTCCCGTGCGTGATTTAAATATTGTCACGAATTTTTTTCTTATCAAAATACATACAAATTTATAGTACATGAAATCGAACTGCAGCGCAACTTACATGAAAGGATATTTCATTCAGCATTCGAAATAGTATGTGTTTTCATAGTTCAGTTGCAACTGACGTGTAACACGCGCTTCCATCGCGCAATCAGCGACACGTCGACGAGGCCATTCGCATGAGCTCTACGACGCCCATCGCGACTGTTTTCTCCGTTGATACGTTCACGTCCTATTGCAACTACGATGCACCGGTTACTTTCGCAGGATGTGTGGCCCGCGCAGGCTCGAGTTGGAGCGACTGGATCGACGTGGCGTCCGGGAAAAAGGTGACTGAGGTGACTCTGGCTGATGCAGCTCGGGGGAACCTTTCCTATGCGAACCCTCCCTCAACTTACACATTCGAGTTCCTCGAAAGTATGACGTCGAACGCGTTGATCATGTACGTTGTGTCTTTCGATCTCCTGTGCTAACAACGCATCTACCCCAGCGAAATGGCAGGCCATGGCATCAAGAAACTTGGCAACATGAACTCGCAAAATGCAAGTTTCGCTGGCTCCCGTCCTCTTATAGTCACATCTCTGTACGTACCAACAACAGCGACACCACTTTTGCTGATCCACACATAGGAATCTGTCGAACAACCTCCTCGCCTCCATTCCGCGCACTGTCGTGTTTGGCCCCGAGCTGTTGAACTTGTACGTAATTCGATCCACCACTTCGCCGTGGCATTGACGCCTCTGGTTTAGAACGCTCGCAAACAACAAAATTGCCGATGTCGAAGCGATTGTGGCACCCAAACTACGATTCTTGTACGCCTTACTTCATGGCTCCTCGCATGGTTGCTCATGTCCTGCAACGGTCCATAGAAACCTCAGCAACAATCAACTCCCATCGCTTAAAGGGAACGATTCATCATTGTTTCCCACGTCCCTTACAACGCTGGATCTATCGGACAACCCGCTCGTCGAGTTGGCTCATGTGTTGTGGCCGGCGAACCTCGCGGAGCTCTACTTGGACCGCATTTCGACGTTGCAGAGCGTCCGCCACGTCGACTTGACCTCGCTTCGGTTGTTGTCGTTTCAAGACACGACGATTCAAAACCTGCTCGTGTCGAAGGACCAGTTCACCCAGCTGACGGCACGCATCAACGCCAAGTTACTGACTGTTCTCACGTCCGAAAAAACGAAACTCAAAACGAGTGGCTGCGGCAACCCAAAGACGCTGCAGACCTCGACGTCGACCCTCGACATTTGCGTGGAAGGTGCACCAGGTACGACTTACTTATTCAACTTTCCACGACGTGATATATGTCCCAGATGGATCATCCAATTCCACCATGTACATTGTTATTGGTTGTATCGCCGCGGCGGTTGTGGCTGTCGTCGGGTTCCTCATATACAGGAAGTGCGCGCAGCGCAGTGGCGCCGCCAAACGGTCGGCCACCCCCGGAGTTTCGTTCTCGGTGTTTGTGAACCAAAGCGCCCGCAACCATTCCCACATGATGAACAACCCTGCTAAGTCTGGAGCTGCAGGAGGTCGACCACGGGACCCGACGCTGCTGGGGACTGCCGCCGGGGAACAAAAGTACGACGTCCGGTTCGACCCGGCGATGCAACAGTTCCGCCTTGACCACCGCGCCATCGTCCTGCATGGCGTGTTGGCGTCGGGGGGATTTGGTGTCGTCCACAAGGCGACTTTCAAAGGCGAAACAGTCGCAGTGAAGCAACTCTTGCCGTCGATCGACGGCAATTCCGACGCCGTGACTGACTTTATGGAAGAGATTCGGCTGTGCTCCATGTTAGACCACCCGCACATCGTCCGCTTCATTGGGTATAGCACGATTCATGCACGAGCTGCTGATTTCATGCTGCGGTAGGGTGACCTGGACGACTCTAAAGGACGTCAGCGCAGTCATCGAGTTCATGCCAAAGGGCGATTTGGCCAACCTCGTTCGCTCCACAAACAACTCGGTGAAGCTCGTGTGGTCAACTGGCGACGACTCGAACGTGGCGTCTGGAACCGTATCGAAACTGCAGATTCTGTGGGACGTTGTCGCTGGCCTCGAGTACTTACACGGCTTCCACGTGATCCATCGCGATTTGAAAGCCAAGAACGTCCTGTTGGGCGACCAGTACGAAGCAAAATTGAGCGACTTTGGGACAAGTCGCAGCACTGTCGGCGACGCCACCATGACTGCAGAGGTATGTCGCCGACAACGCCCTCAAGATCTCAACAGTGAACAGGTCGGCACGATTGCATGGATTGCGCCAGAAGTGCTCAAGGGTCAAAAGTATTCTGTCAGCGCCGATATGTACTCGTTCGGCGTGTTGATGTCCGAAGTGGACATGGGCATTAGTCCGTACAGTCACCTCGTCACAAACGGAGGGTCCCAACTACCGAAACCCGTCATCGCGATGAAGGTTCACCACCAACACGTCCTCCTCGCGGTGTTGTGATATGATCTGGTCTCCGTAGGTCATGGATGGGGAGCTGCGACCGACGTTTTCAAACCAGTGCCCTGCAGAGGTCGTAGCCCTTGCGGAGCGTTGCTTGCTCCACGACCCGACCGACAGGCCAACCGCGGCCGAAGTCGGTCGCATGCTTGGCAAGATGGTCCGGTCGCAAACGTACTCTATGTAGAGTTGCATAGCGTGAAAAGACCCAATGCATGTACTGTTGTCTGAATCAATGCCGGTGATGTCTCCAAATCCACCGTGGCAGTGGCACAAGCACATCACCCAGGTCTCTGGGAAAAGGAGGCGGTTTGGTCGATGTGGCAGCTAGACGGTGGCAATGATACATGCCTACGAGATAATTGCCTCTGGAACATCTCACTTTCAGTCTCCCCAACACATCTCGCGATCAGGCATTGCCGACAAGAGCTTCGATGGTCAGACACAGCTCCCATCGACAAAGCAAGGTCAACCAACTGACCTAAATGGGATGTACTGACGCAACGTGGACGCGACAGCATTCGCCAGACCTTGACTTCATGAACACTGCTGGATGCACCGCAACCAAAACACTTCCTGCGACGCGCTCGCTGCCTTTCCAGAAAATGACCCCTTAACGCTCATGAGACAGATACAGCCGGATTTCGACATTCAAATACCGATATAAGATATGATTCACCCGACAAGAGACACGAATATAACCCAACATTCATAAACCGGGTATTTGGTAGCAATGCCTTCTTTGTCAACTTCGGCCGTCCATGGATGCGCTCAAAATTGGCGTCACTCTTGAAATTTTGAGCTGGCCTACAAGCAGCATGGATCGTTCGCCGTCATTGCAACGCTTTCTTTGTCTCATGGTGGCACTGTCCTGCGCCGTACTGACGTCGGCCTTTCAGTATGAGAACGTGACGCATCCACTCCAAGGACCTCGAAAGTACCTTCACCCTGATGTGGCTGGCAAACCATTCCCAACCGGCGCGTTCTGGACCAACTTTGTCCTTGGTCAAAGCAATGAAGTCGTTGTGACGTACCCCTACGCTGTCAAGATTATGAATCACCAACTGCACATCAGCTATCCGTTCCGGGTCGTCACAAGCAAGAGCATCATCCAAGGGTTCACGTCGGAGATAGCCGTGGAACTCGGTACACAACCGCTTCAAATTCGTCGCTTCGACGACTTGAGCGTCACAGTCGCATTCCCACAAGCGTCCGGAGGCACCATTATCCTCCATCTCGTGCGTGGGTCTCCGTACATGACGCTGGAATACAAAGACGCGGCACCTGTGTTGTTGTCGGAAGCGAATATCCTGTCCGTGACCCAGCCCACATCGGCGTACTCCGTCGTGACTCTCGGGAACTGGCACCAATGGCTTGTTTTCTCGTCCACTCCTTTTGCATGGACCCAGCAAGGAAGGGTTTGGAACGGCCCAGCGAAATTCAATGGCGTCGTGCGCATTGCGTTGGCCTTGCAAGAGTCTGCCAAATCTGTGCTGGCTGCACATGCCGACGTGTACCCCACCGGCGCTTCGATCACGTACAATACCAAGCCAAAAGCCAAGGTGACGGACTTGATCTTTTCGTGGACAGCCAAGACCACGAACGCATTGGTTCCCACGTCAAACTTGCTCATGGTCGCATTGCCGCACCATGTCCAGATATTCGCCCCATCGACCACGACGCTCCCCGAGGTGACTGATGTAGCTGCTCATACGGTTTCTAATTGCCACGTAACTCTGTAGATTCAATACATGACCATGCGTGGGCCAGGCACCGGCATTGTTGGAGCCACATGGCATTTGCAGGAGCCTGTCATTGACATTCCGTGGGACTACTCTGATCAAGGTATCCCAACCAAGGAGCGGTTTGCATTCTCACGTCTGGTGCAGGCGTGTTTGCCAGACCCAATACCCCCGAATACGAATCGACCCTGGCCTTCATCTCGGCCGCGCTCGACAACGACATCGAGCGGTTCCCAGCATTCGCGGAAGACTCGTACAACTTTGGCAAGCAATTCGGCCGTGAAGCTCGACTCGTTTTGACTGCCCATCGATTCAATAAGGCGACCGTGTTTGAAAAAGGACTGGCAAAGCTGCAAAATCAAATCCGGGCGTGGCTCCAGGGCACCAACATCGACCATTTTGTGTACGACACAACGTATGGCGGGCTCATCACGAACGATGGGTACCAATCGAACGCAAAAGATTTTGGCAACGGCAACTACAACGACCACCACGTACGTGAGAGCCTCCTCGCAGCCCTTTTCAGTGTGTTCTCATTCCCACTAGTTTCATTACGGGTATTTCCTTTATGGCCTTGCCGTACTTCGTCGTTTCAACGCGTCGTTCGTCGACGAGCACCGCGATGCGATTGTGTACATCCTGAGCGACATTGGCGCGCCGCTTGGGAAAACTTCGTTTGTTGCAAACTTTCCGCAGCGGGACTTGTTTCCCACGGCCCGCCACAAGGACTGGTTCGTCGGCCACTCGTACGCAAGCGGTCTCTTTCCCCAAGCAAACGGCAAGTCCCAAGAAAGCAGCAGCGAGGCCATCAACGCGTACTACGCGCTGGCCCTGTTTACGTCGCTGGATTCAGACCCGGCGTATTTTGAATACGCACGGCTACTGTTGGCCATGGAAGTCCGAGCAACTCAACTGTACTGGCACATACCCGCCGTTCAAACACCAACAATTTACGAGCCGTTGTTCGCCGCGAATAAGATGGCTGGCGTTGTCAGCGAAATGGACGTGGTGTATTCGACCTGGTTTGGCGACCGCCCTGCCTACATCCATGGCATCCAAGTTATTCCGGTGACGCCCATCACGGCGGTCTTGCTCCCGTACGTAGCTCTGTCCTTCGTGAACGACGGAATGATGTCACTTGCGTGATGCGCACTCTAAATGCTGCCACTGGATAGGGAATCGTACGTTGCCGACGAGCGCCAAGTTCTGGACAACCAGCCCGAGCTCTCCAACCCGAGCGACATTTGGTCGTCAGTGCTCGCCTTCGACAATGCCATTGTCGACGCTTCCCGAGAATGGACGAAACTCCAAAGAACCGACTATAACTACGACACGTGGAGCTCTGCCGCGAACGCGATGCACTGGATTGCATCGCGCTCGAGCTTCGGGACTCATGTCAAGCCTCCCACCAAGCCGGTGGCCCTCGCATGCTTTGGATATCCTGCATGTGCGTTGGCTGGCGCGTTTGGAGGCAGCTTGGACTGCTGCAACACGTTGCCTGGTTGCTGTCCAAGCGACAAACCTTGCTGCAAAACGGACAAAATTAGTGAGCCATCAACGACTTGCCACGACGAGCCAGCCTGCGGCATCCTCGGCTTGAGTTGCTGTGGGTCACCGCAAGGTTGCTGCACGCCGTCCCCAGTCACCGGCCTCGTGCTGGGTTGCTGCAAACAAGTCACTAAACCACCACTTGACGGCCGCGCCACAAACGCAACGACTCAGTGCCATGCCCAGCCCAAGTGTGCGGCCGCCAAATTGGAGTGCTGCAACTCCCCACAGGGATGTTGCGTCCCAACCGCCAGCGGCCAGGTCCTGGGATGCTGTGACCTGACTAATGCTTCGTTGGTGCCCACGACGACACTTCCATCAACCTCCTGCCACAACGAACCACAATGCGGTGTCTTGGGACTGGAGTGTTGTAGCTCACCCGACGGCTGCTGCCGAACGCTTCCATCGCAGCCCAAGCTAACGTGCTGTAGCCAGGGCCAACCACTGACGAGCGTGTGGCCTCGAAAGGCCGTGGTTGGCAAAGCGGCGTCGTCGTGTGATCACAACCCGCTCTGCTTGACGGCGGGGCCGGACGGTGGGGTGCTGGCGTGCTGGCGTGCTGCAATGATTCGAAAGGGTGTTGCCCTGGTAACACCTGCTGCAGTAGTGCGACCACTTGGTGGACACTGGATCGTGTCTTCATGGTAGCGCTGGGCGCGCTGGCTATAGGTGGCGTGTTCTACTGCAGTGTGCTGTATTTGCGTCGCAAGGACTATCGGCCGCTTGACAGGGATGTCCGCGCGTGGTACTGCGGCAGCTTCATGGTGATCGTGCTCGGTGTGTTTTTCTACTTGGCGTTTTCCGTGAAAAATTAGCGATAACTATGAATGAAAGCAACTCAAAGCATCGTATCGGAGGAGTGAAGGGAAAATACAATCGCGACTAACTGACGCAGTACGAGATGTTGCGCTCTTCCAGGAACTTCTTGATGCTGTCGTTGAGGTCGCCCGTGACAGCGACGGCGTAGATGCCCGGCACGAATTTGCCGATGCGACGCCACTTCGCTACCCAGCTCTCCTTTGGCTGCATCATCGCGATCATCCCTTCAAAGTACGCTGTTGTGCAGTCCGTCACACGCGTGCGGTTGTCTTGCATGTTAAGGAAGCCGCAGTTGTCGCACCCAGATTCATAGAACTGGCTGTACGTCTTGACAAGGGAGCAGATCATGCACGCACGCAGCTCGCGAAATGTCGTCGGGATTTCCGCGTGCACCACGCCTTGTTCCATATCGTCGTCGTCTTCGTCGCCGCGCATGTTCGACTCCTACCGCCCAACACAAACCACCTTGGATTTTCGGATAATGAACGGCATCCGGTTGAATATCTGGATGCTGAATTCCATGTTTGCCCATGCGTCGCCAGGAAATGCCGATCGACAATACAGAGCGCGATTCGACGTCGCCCGAAGACATAGCGCCTGATGCGCTCCAGCGCCTCGTGCTCCCTGAGGACTGGACTTCCTACGACCTCTTTTCATGTGCAGTCTCACAAGAAGCATTCCGCGGATGGGTCAAGCAGCCATCTCCGTCGTGTGCTGCAGCTGCCCTGGGTACGCCGAGCAAACATCGGGGGTTTTCATGCTGTATTTTAGCTGGCGCGCTAAACGTTGTATACGGCTACCCACGTACGCACGTCCAAGCGTACACAAGTATGGACATCCTGTCCGTGTATCGAGAACAGTTCAATGACTTACTGACAAGCCAGAGACGGCAACTTTCAGCTGCCATCGGCAACACAGCTCTTACAACGCTGGAGATTTTGATGCAGTCAGCGTTGCATGCGCAAAATCTTGACTATGGGGTATGTGCATTGCTGAGGTCACAGTGTTCTGGGTGTTATCTCGAATTTTCAGGGCGTAGGATCTCACAGAGTCACGAAGCGTGTCCTTCGCCGATGTATTCAGGAATGCCTGTCGTCGATCATTCCATCATACACAGCGCTCGACGTTTCATCAGGTGATGAATCCATCGATACGGACGATTTCGACGACGCTGTCGCTGAACAAGTCGACAACGGTCCCGTAACACCGACGTCGAGAGATGTTGCTCCCCATCCTTGCCCCCAAGGGATAGCTCCGCTGTCCGACCCCCAGCTTACAACTCTACTCTTGTATTTTCATCGCATGGATGGGCTCGCAAAATTATGTCGTCCAGACAAGCCCAGCACAGCCATTTGCGGCAACGCCACATTACTCAACGCTGCGTCCTATGTTCATAGCACCAGCGACGCAGTGCACCGTGTTAAATGTCTTCGAGCGACGTGTTTAATGGGACAATTTTCGCCCAACTGCAAGCTGCGCATTGCCATAACTCCAACGGATTCTCCGGGGAAGCAAACTCTCGACTGGAAAGTCCTATGGAACACATTTACAGACGACCACACAGGTGGGTTCTCCCTCTTCCACTGTGTGTTGCGATCCTTGAAATGACCTTCATGGCGAAGTGCAGCGTTGGTGGTGCACCTGAAGAACCACTACGCGATGGTGTTCGCCCTACGTGAGTGGAAAGATCCGTCGACGAAGGAGTGGACGCGACAGATACTGACGGCGCGTCGAGGCCAACGCCCTTCGTCATGGGTGAACTGGTCCGAACTCCGCCACATATTTCTCGGCTGGACAGGATACAAACTGCTCGCATTTGCTGGGAGCACAGGAGATGAATGAATAGTCACGGAGTCGAGCGTCGTGGTGGCCATTTACTCAAGAGTGTTGCGTTCGATATCAAGATACCAAAACTTTTGACGTCGACACCGTGGTGTTCATGGCCTTGAGCTCTACATCGTCCACGATTCAGGCCACTTGGTCGGGCAATTCGATTGCGATCGGAGAGATGCGAGTTCGCCTAATGTTGGCGCTGTTGGTTTCTCCAACTTTGTCCCCATCGTGCACAGTGGCGTGCGACATGGCGCCCATGCAGAGTTCAAAACACTAGTATTTCGTGTGAAAGTACAAACAACGACGTCGAGATTGTGGAGCCGTGCGAAGACAAGACGGATCACGAAAACATGGTGCATTGAAACGAATGCCTCGTGACGGAGCTGATCTCACAGACGCGATGACGATCCAAATGCTACATTTAAAGCCGCGGCAATGCATTTTCAGTCGGGTGAACGGGCTTGAATCCAGACGCTCGGGGGGGGTTCAACTTGGCAGGTGCGGGCTTCGCTGGTTCGTGTTGACGCTTCGAGCGGAGTTCGGCCACTTTTCGAGCCACGCGTTGGCCGTATTCGCGGTCAGCAGACGTAAAGTTTGCCACCTAGAAACCACCACGTTGTCCATCTTTTTGTCACAACATTATCCATCGTACAGCTCGGGCTTGGATGGCGGCACTCGCGTTCACCAAGCTTCCTGCAATGTTGTCTACCAGTCGACCTCGCTCCGCTTCGTTCAGTACCTACCGGATCAAAGGTCAAGTTTACCATTTGCCTCAAGGCATGTGCCTACATTGCACAATCAATTGGTCATACCTGGCGATAAAACTGGCCCGCTTGGGTAAAGTTGTCGTCGTCCTTGGTGCTGTATCGTGCGGTAGTTACGGACGCGCCGGTCTGCGGTGCTTGGTCGCGAAGATCGATGTACTGCGGGGCCGTGGGATCGCTGTTGGGAAAGTAGTTGGGGGCGCTCCCCTGGTTGCCATTCACGGTCATAAATCCATCGCGCTGGTAGTTCTTTGCAGGGCTTTGTACAGGCTGATTGACTGGAATTTGCTGGTAGTTGGGCCCGAGGCGGTGGCGATGCGTGTCCGAGTACGAGAACAGCCGACCCTGGAGCATTTTATCTGGGGAAGCCTGGATGCCTGGAACAAAATGCGCTGGCGAGAATGCGAGCTGCTCGACGTCGCTGAAGTAGTTGGACGGGTTGCGGTTGAGCACCAACTTGCCAACTTCACGCAACGGGTACTGGTCATGGGGCCACACTTTGGTCACGTCAAACGGATTGAATCCCGCTGCAAGATGAGCGTTCGCTTGAACCACCGACATCACTTGAATGTACAAAGTCCACGTAGGGTATTCCTTGCGCGCGATGGCTTCGTACAAGTCCTGGATAGCATAATCCGGGTTTGAACCCGCGAGGTGGTCCGCGACCTCAACCGGGAGGTTGCGAATGCCTTGGTCCGTCTTGAAGTGGTACTTGACGTAGCTGACGACTCCGTCCTTGACGTTTTCGAACGTGTGACTGCCATAGCCGTTCATGTGGCGGTAGCCATCGGGGATTCCACGGTCCGAGAACAAAAACGACACTTGATGCGTAGTTTCTGGGCGAAGCGAGATGAAGTCCCACATCATATTGGCGTCCTTGAGGTGCGTGGAAGGATGGCGCTTCTGCGTGTGGATAAAGCTCGGAAAGAGAATAGGGTCGCGAATGAAAAAGATCGGCGTGTTGTTGCCGACCAAGTCCCAGTTGCCTTCTTCCGTGTAGAACTTGACGGCGAACCCGCGTGGGTCACGCACAGTGTCGGCACTTCCGAGTTCCCCTCCGACTGTCGAGAAACGAACAGCGATGGGGGTTTGCTTGCCCACAGCGGAGAAGAGTGCAGCACTCGTCACGGACGAAATGTCATGAGTCACTTCAAAGTACCCGAACGCACCAGCCCCCTTGGCGTGAACAACACGCTCAGGAATGCGCTCGCGGTCAAAGTGAGCAAGGTGGTCGAGCAAAGCGAAATCTTGGACGACGATAGGTCCATGCGGGCCCGCCGTTTGGGATGCCGTCAGGCCGTGGAGTGGCAACGGGGCCCCGTTGCTGGTGGTCACTTGCTTCGTTGGTTCCATCTTGGAAAATGGACAATCGCGTCAACAATGATATCCATAATTCCTCTATTTCCTATCATAAATGAACACGATCTTAAACAATGATTCGGTATAGTGTGTGGGTCGATCGATGCGACACACACATGCTGTTTGGGCGGCCAGCCTCGAGGAGTCAAGTGCCATTGTAGACCGAGGAAGCGACAATCACATTGTAGAGGAAATACTGCGAGCGACGGAAAAATTCCCCAGTGGTACTGACAAGTATTCTTGAGATTGGTATTGCCAAAAACATATACCCTTGACAACAAATAAATTCAAGCAATTCTTGAATATACTGCGGATTCGTGTTGCGACAATGTTGATGTATAGAAAACGTGTAAAGTACCACTGGGACATTTCTTCCGTCGCTGACGGTGCACTGCCTAAATGAATGAGCTGTGTTCAAAGCACCGTATAATTGACTTTGTTATGCGTCATGCTGACGAGCTTTCGGTTCTGGTAGTAGGCCCTCAGGTTGCTGATTCGAACTTGGTTTTGCCCCGACACACCTTCTACAAGTCTGTGATCGACGGGATAATGTGCCCAGTTGAATTTGCAACGGAAAAATGTCCCCAGTGGAGCTAGGAACAGAAAAATGTTCCCAGTTATACACATGCGACAGGAAAATGTCCCAGTGGTACCAGACGGCAAGGAAGCCGTCGTCATCGCAGCTGACCAACACAGACCCCCTCGTCTCGTCAGGTGGGGTGCTGAGGGCATGCAATGGCTTCGAGTGAAGTCCAGTCGTGGCGTGGCAGCATGAACATTAGAAATG